AGACCTCTTCACTTGAACCGTGCGGAGACTTGTCTCCAAAAACCTGCTGTGCTGTACCACGAGAGGGAACGAGCTGTGGGCGGGTGATGGCTGGGAACCGCCGGCGTCACTGGCCGGGTCCCACCAAGGCTGCTGTGCAGTGCTGCGCTGCGTTGCGTTGCGTTGCGTTGCTGGCTGAGAGGCGCCTCGCTTTTCGTCTCCCTGAATTTAGACAGTGCGTTTCCACGGCCAGGAGTGCTTGTTGGACAGCTGATACAGCGTCTCCCGTCTGGGCTGTGAGGAACAGGCTCCCTCCAGCCCTGCCAACAGGTGCCCAGGCATTGATCAGAATATTAATTTCAAGGCTTTGATAGGCAGTGGGGTTTTCCTGCGGGGCATCGCTTGTCCAGGTCTGAGCTGCTGTGAGAGCTGATGTCAGGGTTCGAACGCCGACGGGCGCTGACGCAGCATCCTTTTCTGCAGCCCTTTTTTGCTTACTCTGCACCAGGTGCTTTGACCTCCCACGTAACGAAAGTGATCGGATTTGAAGCCTCTCCTGTAGAAAAGCTCTGAACTGTGTTCCTGCTGCGATGCTTTGTGCAATGATTTTCAAGGTTATGCAATTCATGTGAAACCCACTGGACTGTACCGAACACATTTCTTTGTACCGTGAGTGTCACTTTAATACAGTGCACCAGTAGCTGTAAAGGATGGCTGCAATTCTATTTATTTTGTTGTCTTGCTTTTTCTTAGATTTACCTTGCTTTCCTCCAATAAATAGACACCAAATACTTTTTTCTGAGGTGACTTAATCAGTTACTTGACCTGGCTCGTGCGTGTGTTCTCTGAATTGCAAACGCCACGTGCAGTGCAGCTTGGTGCTGCTCTGCCTGTTGCATGAAATGCTTTTATGGACATCTACGTTGAATAATGACTAAACAGAAGAAAAACACCACCAGACACTCGGTAGGCTTCAAAGTATTACCTATCACCTGAAGCCGCCTCAAACATGTGGATTGATTGAGTGGGTTTTCTTTGTAAACAGATGTTTTGGGTTGTGAAACCCATTATAAAATGTGTTGCTTCCTCCCCTTTTATTCCCATAAAAATGGAATAACAATTAAAAAGCCACCTATAGCTGCCTATGGATAGGCTCGACAACCCTTTCGGTGAAGGAATTACCGGGAGCAGGAGATAGCCTGGGAACTTGGAGAAAAAAATGGGTCATGAACTGGTAAAAGGGACAAAATAACCAGTAAGTGGAACCAGCTTCAGCAAGGTGTAGTCTCAGTAGCTGCCAGCTATCTGGTCCTGGCAGCGTGGCGGTGCGGTGTCAAGCCTGGAGCCAAGGATGAAGCACGGTTAGTGATGTTAGCTGAGAACAGGCAGCACACCTGAGAGCAGGGAACGCGCAGGGGGTCCAGCGGTCCCAGGGGATAGTACCACAACAACACAGGTCTCTCCTCCCGGGGCGGGGGCAAACACCTGGGTGGTGTATTCTGAGAGGCTGACCCCCGCAAAGAGCACCTCTGCCTCCAGGGCAAGGCAGGGACCGAGCCCTGCACGCCCCGGCCGGAGCACGGAGGGAGGCTGAGCCGGCACGGGCCGGCACTGCAAAGGCACGACTTCCCTTCCAGTTGTGCACGCTGAACGCAAGGTGCAGCAGCGTGCTGCTTGGATGCCAACATCCCTGCGGTTTGCTCGGTGGGCCCCGACGTGGGATGTCTGGACCCCTCCCTCGCACGTGCTACGGCAGCACAGACATACTCGCACCTTGCCAAAACACCCTTCTGTCCAGGGAAGGGGGGGGGTTACTTACACCCTGGGCCATGATTCGCATGCGATGGCACTTTGGGCATCTCGTTGCCTCCTTGCACTTCTCCTTGCTGTGAAATGTGGGCAGTGTTCCCCACCGGGGTGCAGGGGCTTCATTTCTGATGGGCAGGCCTCACTGTGGCTGTAGATTCGATTCCTTACGCCTAACGAGGAATTTCATGACACTGTTTCATGCAAAAGCCCCAGCTGGATGGGTGGGAAGAAAGCCTGGGACAGGGCACAGCTTCTTCCTGTTGAATGGGGTGCAGCAAATGTCCAGTTGTCTTATATTTAAAAAAAAATAATAATACAAGTGAGAAATGGTGCAGCATCTGTATCCCCCCTTTCCATGTCTGCGCAGCGGACAAGGCCCGCCTGCAACAGCCCGTGCCCCGGAGAGCATTAGAAGTGGGATTTCTTTAAAAATAAAAATCCCAGGAGGACAATATAATAATGAATTTTTGTCTGAACGCTGCAAATTTGCTTAATAGAAACAAGTGCTGGAGTGCAGACCTGCTGTTGAATAATCACTTCCACTCTACGGAGCAGAGCACAGAAACCTTTTGATGGTGTTATAGTCATCACTTGGCATAAATATTCATTCAAGGAATCAGAGCAGAGTAAATGGCATTTTAGACTCTAATCATTTAGTATTAGCAGATAGCCTTTTTACTGCTAAAGATAACCACTGCTTAATCAGTTTAGTGACCCCTGGCATACAGTATGACATTTAAGCTTGTGCCTCGGTCCCCACGTTGAGGACACAGCTGCCAGTGACCCCTCTGCCCGAGTCTCCGCCGTTCCCAAAGTTGGCTCCGCCGCTGCCAGCTGCCAAACGCACACAACTGGCTTTAACTTCCGAATTATCTGCCGTTTGCCTCCTTATCTTAGATCAAAGCGGTATTTTAAGTTCATACAACAAGTGTTAAAACCTAGGATCTTTTCTCTCCTTTTTTTTTTTTTTGTGTAGTTGGGGCTAATGGCTGATCACAGCACAGTCTGATTTTGAGATTAAAAACGAGCCAGTATTTAAAGGCAATCAAAATCTCAAGCTTCTTCTCCATTCATCTTTAATGCTGGTGTAATTGCCGCACAGATTCTGGCTCTTCCTCCAGTCTTAATGGTTTTTTTTCTTTGGTGTGTGCGACTGTCTTTCAGAGGGCTGTTACACTTCCCTGAGCAGCATTAGCACTACGGAGGACTCCGCTATCGGCAATCCAGCTCGCCCGATTTCATATCTTGCCAAACAAGTTAATCTAATATTAACAGCGGTTTGTTACCTCGTTGTTAGCTTAATTTACTTTACAAGAAATGCTATATTTGCATTTCATCCCCCTGTCATTGGCTTGCGAAGCGTGCTTCCCGGTGCCAAGAAGGGACGGCTCACACCGTTTGGCGCGAGTCTCGGCGTGGCTGTGCCGCGGAGGAGGGGGCCGTCACCCCAACGAGGCATTTTCGCTAATTGGCTGGGGGGGCGGTGAGGGGAGTTCGAAGGAGGATTTTTACAAGAAATGCTATATTTGCATTTCATCCCCCTGTCATTGGCTTGCGAAGCGTGCTTCCCGGTGCCAAGAAGGGACGGCTCACACCGTTTGGCGCGAGTCTCGGCGTGGCTGTGCCGCGGAGGAGGGGGCCGTCACCCCAACGAGGCATTTTCGCTAATTGGCTGGGGGGGCGGTGAGGGGAGTTCGAAGGAGGATTTTGAAAGCCGTAATTGGCTGGGGGGGGCGGTGAGGGGAGTTTGAAGGAGGATTTTGAAAGCCGTAGAGCAGGTCCTGGAAATGCAATATTCAGAATAGCACAAATACTGCTGCTGCTCTTCCAGTAATAGAGCTGAGTCGTAGACAGTAGTTTTCCCTGGTGGCAAACATATACAGTAAATGTCTTTAGTATGGAAATCAGCAGACATATGGGCACAGCGGCAGACGTTTGCAACACCAACAGGTTCCTCAGGCTTTTAGGGGGTGCTCCCGCGCCAGCCCCCACCGCATGCCGGGGACTCGCCGAGGTCTGTCTGCCAGCACGGCGGGGGCTGTGCGCCTCACCTCCAGATTGCTGGGGGGGGGACCATGAGCAGAGGCTCGAAGCAATCGCTCAAAAGCCACTTCCCCTAATGACCCGGCTCTCGGACAGGAAGGCTTGTCTCCATCGGCCACGCAGAGCTGCAGGGCTGGGAAGGGCCGTGGGACGGGGCTGGGGATGCCCCATGGTGGCAGTAGGTGACATCGGTGACTTGGTGCCCAGGGCTGGTCCCACCTAGGCTGCGGGATGTGGCGTGGTTGGAGATAGGGATGGCTTTTGCGAGTGTTAAGTTTCTGGCTTAATTCTTGATTAGCTCATTAAGTGCCGCATCACTAAACCCTGTCCCTGTTTATGGGGTGCTGGCTCTTCACCTGCTCTAGCCATCGCTGCCTTCTGCTGTACCGGCCAGCGAGTGGCGGAGGTGCCTGCACTGAGTTAGTAATATTATTTCTGAAAGGGAAGGGACAGCAGCAGGGTGATGACACTGTTGCCACTGATGTCCTCAATGTCAGCCTCTCGCACAAAAATGGGATTTTTAGCAGAGGGGAGGTTGCAAACATTTTGCTAGGGGAGGCCATTTGGATGCGAGGCTAGTCCCCAGCCACCGGTCCCACTGTGCCCCCAACTCATCAGGTCACTCCAGCTTCTCCTCTGCTGGTGCCTGTGTCTCCGGTCAAGCCACGTTTGAATTGACCCAGGGAGAGGAAGTGGGGGGCTGCACCCCCATGCTCTCCGTAGGCAGCAAGAACCAGCCCCCAGGGCGAGGTATCCCCTGCACGGCTAAGCTCCCGCCGGAGGCAGCAGCTACGGGAGGAGCCCTGGTTTGCACAGCTCCGTTTAGGTATCTCGGCTTACAGAAACCAAATTACTCCGTCTGTCCGTCTGTCTGTCTTGCTCTGGTTTTAATAGCAAAACTTTGAAGGATGCCAAGGAAGACTCTGGCCAGGCTGAGATGCCTGGCAGGGCGGCCACTTTGTGATGCTGAAGAAGGTTTTT